GTTTTAAATAGTTTTAAATGATATTCTGTGAATTTCTACTCCAGTATATCATTTGATTTGAATGTTCTTGAACAGTTTTTGGCTTCAAATTTCTTCCGATGAGCACATGGGAGCTGTTATTGTTGTCTTTTGGAGTTTATCCAGTTGTATATCAAATCTATCTCGGTACATTTTTTGTCTGACACTTGCGGATAAAGTGAAACAAGTTTTTCTTTCGACTATTTAGTTTTCTACATTCCAAGCTTTGCAGTGATGTATCTGATGTCTTGCCTAGTCAAACATCCAAGAAGTGGAATCGAGAGTTCAGTTGTGACCCTGTCGCGAACTTAATTGATTGGTTGCAGCTATTTAACTCCTTGAGCATGCTATAGAGGTGTCATAACTTTTTTGAAAGATCTTTTAACACCCAGAACAGAGTTTAAATGGTTAAGTTTGTTAATTCTGATCAGTGTTTTTTTTGCAAGGTAGTTTTTTCGGGATAGGGTTGCTGACCCTATAGCCAACCCTCCTCTTTAATCCGGATTTGTGGCCGGCAGTATTCTTAGAAGATCTACAGTCGGAGTTGCTTTTAATGAGGTAAAACAAAATTTCTGGTAAGCTGTTGTATTTTATAACACCACTGAAAAAGGTATCAGTGTTATACTGTGAACGTTTTTGGTTCATTTCTAAGATATAAAAGAGTTACTTTTGAACAATAATCATAATTCCATTATGAATATAGAATTTGTTAAACCAATGTTATCAATTCAGCTGAAACGCTAAACTGAGTACCATGACTACAGGAAAATATATCTGTATATTTATTCTGTCCTGTATGTTACTTGAAGTAAATTTTAAGTGAATAAGTCAATCTAAACTTACCCTCTTCGATTAGCAAACGTGTCACGTTCAGTGCTTCGGCATATCTTCCTTGCTAAAAATGATAGTAAAAGTATGTGAATCATTTAACAACCGGGTGTTACTACTAATGAATTCATAGAATTAAACAAAACAGGAATTAGCTTGAATATGTCTTTTAGTAAATATTTACTACTGAAAGTTACTTTAAGTAGAGAAATATCTGGAATTATTTAAATAAAAATACACTTGGAGATTACCACCTATTACAAATGGAAGCCTTATAACAACAATGAAGATAATTAATTTAAAAACGTTCATGTAATTGTGTTTTTATTTTAGGGCACCAAACAATAAATGTAGTGGGAGAGGGCCGAGCTCCATATGTATCAGAAATTAGTGATCACATGTCAAGATTATTCTATTTTACCTTAGCTTGAAAGACACGTCATTCATTTTTCACGATAACACTCATTAAGATTTATGTTTACTTTGACATGATTGTGGTCAATGACATCTCCAAGTAAATAAATCAGGATTGTTATGCAACACTGAAGAACATACTGAGCTTTTAAAGATTCCGTTAAAAAAATTTTAATAGTTGAATTCATGAGTCGGTGTAAGCTAGACCGCTGCTCAGGAGTCCCACAATAGGAGGAAACGGCCGTCCAGTGCTTCCAGGTTTTCAATGGTGGTCTAGCTTACGTCAACCCTTGAATTCAACTATTAAAATTACTACAATCTCCACAGACCCCATTCCGAATAAAAGAAGTTTTACGCACATAACAGCGAAAGTTTTTTTTTGTTAAACGATTAAGCTTGGACAACATGGAAATTACAAAAATAGTTACAAGAAAATAAAACATCCATCAATACATCGGTTATTATCCGTGGCTCTAAATTAGCGATTCCACTATATTCATAAATATTTTGTACACAAAAATTCATTGTTAAAAAATATAAAACAGTTAAACTATCTCACGAAGGTATTTGACATTTCTCATCTTAAAATGACTAGTAATTATTAATGAATTATTACTAATCAAACAGGAATTGTAATATTCAAATGAACAGAAACTGAAAAATGACAAAACTGCGATTTTTATGTCATTAAAATACTAATGAATATGAACGAAAACGGTTTAGGATTATAATACAATCCCGTATCAGAATTCCTATTTATTCATGGTTTAAACATTTGCTTGATGAAAACGATATTAACTTTCATGATATTCCTCTAGATTGTGAGACAAAGTAAGTTGATGTGTGTCCTATCATACGAATTCGAAAATCTAACACTTAAATTTCATACGCCAGTACTCCCTTAGTCTTCAGATATCAAACGTAAAATTGAAACAAATTAAGTTACACAAATTCAAATAAACAATTATTCAAACTACCTGGACTTTTCAGAATGAGAACTTGTAAGTTGACTCAATTGTTTAGCACTTCAGTAAGAGATGCTAATCATTTTCTAATAACTAGGTGAGTAAAAACAATCAGTTTGTATTTATAAAAGCCTTAAATTCAAGTTGTATAGTGTGATCGTTAAGTAAAACAGTAGAAATACCTTAGAAGTCGAATGATTAAAAACAAGTTTTCGGTATAAAACTTAAACAGGCTAAATGAACAACTTTCACTTACTCGTCCAAGAGAATAGGCAAGATAGTCTAAAATTTGTCCAACTGTCGGTTCAGTTTCTCCATTTTCTTCAGTTTCGTCACTTGCGATGGTAGTTCCTTGTGCATCAACTTCTTTTTTCTGTTCTAACTCATCAAATAACCGATCATAGGCTACACGAAACCATTCTTCTGATTGTTCAAAATCGCCCTGTGAATAGGCATGTCTACCTACTTCCAAGCATTGAGCAGCTGAAATATTGAGAAAAAAAGTCATCGAAGAATTCAGTTTTTGCACTCAACAGAAGCCCCATATAAACTTAGAATATTTAACCGCGGTTAAATTGAATAATGTTGAGTAAATTAAATTGTAATTTATAGTCATGACTCTACTTGACACTACATCTATGCGGTTCGAAGCATTATGTGACTGTCCGTTTAGTGGTACATGCCATCATGTAATTAAATCATATATAACAATTACATGAAATAAATAATAAAACTTGGGAACAAGAGGGAACGTAACGGTAAATCATAAATGCTCCGATATTGTAAATAATTTGTTTAACTGAATCTTTCATAGTAGCGATCGAGATATCAGTAAACGGTAAAAACCGACACTTGTTCAGTTTTTGGCAAATCGGTTTACTTTACAGATCTGTTCCTGACTTCTGATTAACGCTTTAAAAAATAACACTGTAGATTCAAGATGTTTTCGTAAGACTTCTGAAAATCTCTTCAGCATCTTCTTTTGACTAACCCTACTGACATTCTGAATAATGTAGTTGTAAGTGACTAATTTCTATGATCCTAAAAGAGATTATGATGATTTTGACAGCGTTACTAAAATATCTGTTAAAGCAAGTTTTCGTCGGAATATCTCTATCTTAAGCAATAAATATTTACGAAGTTTTCGAGTAAGACTTTTAGTTAACTAGGCGTATGCACGAAACCAACTAATCACAATATCAGATATCACAGGTGTACTCTAATTTAATTAAAATGTTAATTATACTAATAGTGTATGTAAGGTGACTAATAAGCATAAACACGGAGTGATTATACCCTTAAGTCAAGAATTCCTACTTTCAGTGGAAATTGAGCTTCTACCACCTTGTAAATGTAATTCAATATACAAACTTCCGTTAATATTTTATTTTAACTGTGATCTACGAAAAAATACATAGACAATGCTTATTTTAAAAAGCAAATATATTATATTTCTCTAAGTCATGCTTAGTAACACTAAATAGGGTTCAGATAAAGAAAAATGTTAGACAGTGTTTAGAGTTTCACTCCGTTATCATATTTAAATAACAGTCAACTGGTTACAATATAGAACTATAACTTTAAAGTACTTTGAGCACAAGTAAAGAAGTTGATGACAGAGATTTGAGAGAATTTTATTATGAGAAAACCTTGGGAAAAATTTTAAACAATCACGCTGTCATACACAGAAGCTGCCAGTAATTCTGTGCTCTATAACTCCTAATAGCTTCAACATTAATATTGATTTAAGACAGAAATCATCTACAGATTCGCTCGAAATTTGTTATTGTTTTTAAAAAATAATCCATCAAATAACAAGGCTGGAAACAACAGAAAACAATTATTTTTTTTAAAAAAAATAAGCACAATCTGCAAAATTGGACAAAATGATTTAAGAATTTACTGATTATTTTCAGCGATTTGTCCTGCAATTACACGCAGAAATAATCATGATTAGTATAAATTAGATTCAAGTATGTAGATTGGAACGATTAATATAGCAAAACCATGTACTCTCTTAGGTAGTCTCTATAGTTAATCATTTTTCGTATGAGATAAAATTGTCCTATTGGATTAAGTGAATAATATTCCAGCCTTTTAATTAGATTGTAAGAATATTACATTATTTACTAACAAATTAAGAAATTCATGATTCTTCAGTTCAGTTCGGTTTAGGATTAAAATTATTTATAAATCAACCGAACCTCCATCAACCATCTGGTCGATAAAATTAAAAATAGCAGTATCAAAAGCGGATCTTTCTGTAATATGGGTAGTAAGTTTGAATGAATCAAGTCAGTACAGTAAGACGATCCAATGAAAATCAAAGCAAATGCCTACTGCTTACAACAGCTCAATGAAGTTGTAACTTTTCAGAAATACAGTTTTAAGTGGTACATTTAACCACACTCTTTATAATCTATGAATATTTCATTTGATCTCAAAACAGGATCTTAGGTTGTCCATAGAGGTCAGAAAAGTTCAGACATAAACACTAAGGAAAAACATTCTATTCTAAGAAATTCATCAAGATGTTGCAACTTTTAAAAAGTTACCAAACTTACCACTCAGTTGAGGAGTTGACAGATTATCAATTAACTGACCGTAAGCAAGCTGTCTAGCTGGTAGTTTATATGTAGACTGTAAGCGTAGAATTGCATCTACTGCACCACTGACATCATTATCACCAGGTAGCATATCTGTATGTTGTTTAACACGTGATCGAATTGTATTCATTGTGATTGTGTTTTGAGCATCAGAAATATTTAAATAGTCTGACCCATCAGTATCACTCTTCTGAAAACCGTTTGGTACATTGTCAACAAGTTGACTGATCTGTGATTTCCAACTTGATGAAAGACGCTTCATTGTAAGATAAGCATTAATCGGATTGCCTAAATATTCTTCTAGGTCATTATTCTGTTGACTTAGTGTTGACGAGGCGTCACTAATTGATCCATTAGCATCCAACACTTTGACAACTTTCCGAATACGATTAAGACGTCTCTCTTCAAGGGCAATGTAAGAATTTAGATCGGACACTAGTTCTTGACTTAACCTCCATGCTTTCGTTATATCAATAACAGCAGTGTAGTATTCGGCATTTATGTTCTGTTGAAAAAGCAGTAACCAGGTGATAGTGAATGAAAGCAACGCCATTCTCGTTGTTTACAGTAGTAGAAAATGACCCGTTAACAAAAATATTGTGTTAATCAATCAGGGAAACTGAATATGAATTTTTATGATCGACAGACAAACAGGCAGTTCATTCATAATAAGCAGGAAAGTAAGTAAATAAACAAAACATCGAATTCCACCAATAATGTTACTTAGTTCATTTAGTGTGCCTTTCAATGTGCCCTTTACATGAATTTATACGAAATGGAAAGACAATTGATTATTTCCAAGCCTTTTTTATAGTCCTTAAATGGAAGAACTGTCATTGGATAATGACGGAACGCACACTGGTGAAAAGGGAGAATTGAATAATCCCAACAAAATGGATTAGAAACTATCGTAAACTGACGACCAATATAAGAAGGAAAATTGTTATCTAACTACCGTTTGGAGTGTTGATACGGTACCCCTTTTGTTGATAAGCTCTTCTGTTCCATGCCTGAAACATACGATTAAACCATTTCAAAGAAATCTAATGATCAGCATTTACAAGAACTCAGTTTGCTAAGAAGAAGAAATAAAAAAACTGCTTTTGAAAATAAAATAATTTCAGTCACTGAGATTATTTCAAATATACTTTTCACATAAAATGTCCTCTCTATGCTCGGCGCCCAATTTCTGTCAAACTATTCGTTCTAATCTTGACGAATATTCGTACAAATGCTTTTGTTTAGCTCTACAACGAAAAGCTAATTTGACTGAACGTAACTTTTCCTCCTTCTTCCAAACTGGTAGCTGATAAAAGCCTGAGCCAATTACATAACAAACCATTCGTTCATTTCTGACATAGCTGTCTATCTTTTAAACTTTCCAGATCATTAAGATACAATAATTTACAATTACACAACTAAGAAAGTCAAATTAGATAAATAATTGAATGGTTAATTCACAAATAACTAACAGATCAAAAACTAACTTACCAACAGCTTACACAATAATACTGCAAGAGAATTACTTTTTTTGTCATGTGCGCTTTGTTTAAACAAAGTTATCATTCTAGATACGGCCTTATAACCTTCATATTTGACCGTTGCGTTTAGTATCTGCTCAACAAACATTCTGTCATTATGAACGTGAAAACTAATCATCTCGTAAAAATAAGCAATAAACTAACAACAGTATCTGTAACCCAGGATCGGTTATCAAAAGACTAGGAAAACGCCATAGTAAGTTCCGTCTTCAAAACAGTTACGAAACATAAACCTGAGAACTATCGACCCGTAAGCCTAACTAGCATGGTTGTTAAAATTTTAGAAAAGATTATTCGTAAGTTGTTTAAGCATCTCGACGAAAACCGGATTCATTCTGAAAAACATATGTAAGCGAACAATATTGTTCTCGATTAGATCTTCATCAAGGTTTACTCTAATATACAGTAATATTTATATAAATATACGAAATCATTATCGTATTCCTATTAGTTTTCCCTATGGGGTTCGATCTGGTCTCTTAGAGATAACAGAAGCCATAAGAATTCGAGTTAACAAACCAAGTCTTTGTATTCGTAAGAAATTTGTAACACTTATCTCTCCCTTGGTCTTAATAAGTGGTTTCATTTATTATTATTCTCCGTACTCTTTTTTCGTTTATCTTTTTTCACCTACTCCACCTACTTTTTACATACACTTCATTGTCCAGTTGTCTGAACATACTTTATTACATAATCTTATGGTTTTTATGAATACCATTTCAGCATCCATATTTTTCAAGGCATTATGAAACATCGATTCAAGCCTTTGTTATTCTTATCACAACTAGTATACCTGTCATCATATTATCACTTTGTACGCTTTACTTATTAAGTTTATTTATGTAATTTATTCCACTGTTATCACTGACTGAGACAAGCCCTAACTTTGAATTTTGAAGGGAAAAGGAAAAGAGGAAGGCCGATGAATACACCACATCGGGAATTAGAAGAACATATGAAAAGGAGTAATAGCAACAGGAAAGGATTGCCCATGACAGAGTTGAATGGAGAGTGCTGGTGGGTGGCCCATGCTCCTCCACGAGGGCTAACAGGAGTAATTAAGTCATCACTGACTAATAAACTACTGTATATTAAAGTAAAGCCTGATGATATAATCAAAAAAAATATTGATCGCTTATATATGTTGTTCTAAATCACAATATTGGAATTTTCAAATCTTTCTGCAAAGCAGCATGGCTTTAGAACAGGTTATTTCTATCTCACTAACTTATTAGTAGCCGGTGAAAGTTGGTGCGCTCTTAAGGATCAAAAGTTACCTATAAATGTAGTCTATATTGAATTCAGCAAAGTTTTTGATACAGTTCCTCGCATACGGCTGCTATATAAGTTAAGCAATTTATTAATATGGATAAGACTTCCTATTTGGGCGCCAACAAAGAGTACGGGTAAACTCAAAGTTGTCTAGCTGGGAAACTGCTTAGAAGAGTGCTTCAGTGTACAGTTTGAGTGCTAATATTGTTCCTCTTGTGTGTAAATGACCTTCCTAGTCTCCTATCATCATCGGTTTTTTATATGCTGACGATGTCAAGATATGGAAAGCGATACGAAGTAAGGGTGATAGCTTAGAACTCCAAAATGACCTGGAGAAATTATCTGAATGATTGAAAACTTGGCAGTTGCCAATAAATGCTCCCAAGTGCATTATAATGCATATTAGTCATCAAGGTACAGATACATACACGGTGAATAACATTGAACTACCTGTTGTCCAGACACAATGTCATCGTTAACCAAGACTTAAAAACTACTGCATACTACCGTGCAGTAACCGCCAAAGGTTTTAGAACCCTATAGTCAATACGTATAGCCTTTAACCATTTTGATGCTAAAATCTTTTCGACTTTATATACAGTATTCGTTCGTCCTAATCTCCAGCATTGCATAAAGTCGTCTAGCCCCTTCTTAAAAAATATAGTGAGCTTTTGGAAAACGTTCAGAGAGCAGCAACTAAGCTGATTCCCGGAATAACGAAGCTCCTGTATGATGCTCGACTGGCTAAGCTAAACCTATTCCCATTGTCATATCGAAGAACTAGAGGTGACTTGATCACATATTTAAATTAATTATTGATGAATTTACATCTGACGTGCCCTCAATTTTCTTGTCCGCCAAAACAGAGAATTTACGAGGACACTCAAAAAACGTTCACAGGTCCAGAGAAAATTACTTGTCAGATGACTATCGACTTTCGCATCGAGTCATCAACGAACAGAATCCATCAACTGAACATATGATTGAAGCTCTATCTACCAAAGCTTTGAAAAGAAAGTTGTATCAACTGAGAGACCGCCATTACCAGGGCTAACAGGACCACCCAGACTCCTGTCGTTTCCAAAGTGAAACTGTCTGTGAAAATACTGCGTCACGCTTCATAACATCTATAGTGTCTAGAAAAAATAAACGCAACAAATATACTGATTAAAGATTTAATGCATTGCTGATTATTTTGTTTGTAGGTCAGAAATACAATCTTTGTAGATAAAGCTCTTGACAAATTTAAGTAAATAACTTTGAATAATTTATGTATTTAGAGCTTATATTTTCAAGTTAACTAACTGTATATTATATAGATGAAAGTATATGTTTTTGAGATGGTGGAGAAGATGTGTAGCTCAGGTGGATGATTTTGGTGTAGTTTTGTTCTCTGAGCTGGATGGTTGGTCGTGGAGTTTTCATCGTTCTTCTGAACGACATCATCAGCACAAACTTCAGATAGAAGTGAAGTGTTCGAATTTCTCCATATATGTCTCAAAGCTTGTTCTGTGCACCTCGACGTTGATTGGTTCTTATTGACCTTAAATTTGTCGTTGTTTACTTCTTTGTTTTGGTTGTGTCTCCCATTGTTTTGGACGTAGTGGGATCCCACTACGTCCAATTGTAGCACTCTCCGGAACACCAACGTACAATTTGTCAAAAGAAATTTCAAGAATACTGAGACATTTAGTAGATTCAGCCAACCACTCAATCAAATCCCCTACACAATTCCTGGACCAAATTAAGGACATCTAAATCAACAACGACGAACTGATGATATCCTTCGACGTGACAGCACTATTCACCTCAATTGAACCAAGATTAGCAAAAGAAACTATATCCCTGCTGCTCAACAACGAAACAAACCTCACTAAATACACGAAGCTTCAAATTCAAATTCTACATTAACTCATCAATTTATGCCTAACAACATACTTTCAATTCAACAACAAAATCTACGAACAAACGAAAGGGACACCAATGGGATCACCAATATCAGGACTGATCGCAGAAGCAGTGACGCAAAGACTAGAAGCCACGATATTACCAGTGATCAAACCAAAAATTTGAATTCTCTATGTAGACGACACCTTCGTCATCGTCAAAAAGAATGAACCAGAAAACACTTACAACCTGATCAACAACGTCTTCGATGACATCAAGTTCACCATGGAACAGGAGTCAAACAACCAACTAGCATTCTTGGATATATTGATCACTAGAACCGATACAGGAAAACTGGAAACTCAAGTATATAGGAAACCGACTCATACAGATCAAATCCTCAATTACAACAGCAACAACCCAAGAGCTCACAAAATCAACTGCGTACACATATTGTTCAAGAGGGCGAGGACACACTGCAACGCACTGGCAGCACGAAAAAATGAAGAGAAATACCTGAAGGACATATTTCAAAAGAACGGCTACCCAATCAACTTCATCGAAAAGCACCAACGGCACACAGCATCAGAACCCAAATCAAGCACAAAAATCAACAAAAGGATCACCCTACCGTACATGCAAGGAATATCAGAAACCACAACGAGACTGCTGAAAACCTTCGGGATAGGTGTGGCACACAAACCAACAAAATCATTACAATCAATCCTATGCAGACCAAAAGATGAAATAACAAAGGAAAACAAATCAAATATCATCTACAAAATAAATTGTACCAACTGCGACAAACACTACATCGGACAAAGCGGACGCCCCCTCCACCTACGCCTACACG